TTTATTTCTACCTATAAATGTACAGCCTCCACCAAAATGGAGCTCCCCCGCCAGTTGTCTGACCATTAAAAAGTGGACTAGCTTTAGAGTTGTAGAACACATTCAGAAAGCTACAGAAATCATTGAGGATTCAGAAATAGAAGCTGAGATATCAACATTTGCATTGATTAGAGACCTACATGAGATCATGGACAAGGAGACATAGCTTGTTAGTTAAAATTCTCTCTTTCACTAACCCTTAGGGAAATGGCCAGTTCCTAGAGGACTGACTGACTATTTGCCAGGTTTTTGTCCAGGCTACTAAGGGAAGGAGGTTGGTCAGAGAAGCAAACAAAAAATTAGATGCAGTTTTATACAGCTACAAAGAAAAGTTAACTCACAAAGCGTGCTCACCAACCTTAACAGTATTTTGGTAAGATTATAAACTGAGAGTCACCTCCACTTAAGACAATTAAGCAACATTGATTTACACCAGCTGAGGCTAATACTTGGGACCTGATTCTGACCTCATACGGTGCTATGCTAGTGCAACACCACAGACTTCAGTGCAACTATTCCTGATTTACTTCAGTGTCAATGAAATAAGAATCTGGCTCCATATAGTGTGACATGAATGTCTAACACAAGCTCCTTGAAAGAACACATCGTAACATTTAAAGTTATGCCTTTTTAAACTTTCTTAAAGTCAGAAGAAGAATATTTATGAGAAAATCTGCATGAATATAGATCTTTACTTCAAACATATTTTGGAAAGCTCACTGTAGGGTCACCTTAATAAGAGTTTGTGCTTTACAAGTTTGAGAAAGGAGTTAATATCCTCTGGAAGGCAGTTTATTCAAACTTTAGCATCCTTTCAAAGCAATTAACAATTCAAAAGAATGGGGTGAGTGCCATTTAATTCCATTGCAGTGTCACAAGAAAAAAGTAAAAGCTTCATTAACCCAGATCAAAGAAAAATGTCTTGACTGCTTGTATTAAACTGAAAATAGATTATTACAGTTCATAACTTTAAAAAATGAGGAAATTTTCAGAATGCATTAAGGTGACAGAAAATAGAAATGATATATGATGGCATTCCTAGGTAGTAATTTCCTTTCTATGTGGAACCTACGGACAATGATCAAACACAATGAGATCTGCACTCTGATTATATCATGGTATGGAGGAACTGTGAGGTTGCAGAAGGACTTCGGTGACACAAAAGTGACTTTATCCTAGTATGACATGTCTATTTACATCTTAGTTTCCCTTCTTCTCCCATTTCTAAAAATGTGCCCAAAGCCTCTAGCTCCATGTACAAACTATTACAGCTCTTCTATATATTCTTTAGTTAAAATACCAATCAAAAATTAGATCACCCTTGACTTTCCCCACTCCAAAAAAACTCTACCACCACCAAAGACTCTTTTAATGTTTCCCTCAAACTGCCACTTCAAGAAAAGTCTGGGAAAATACTATGACCTAGTTCAACAAACTCAGGTTCAATTCTTCCCTATACCTTTGAAGAGCAAATTAAGAGTCCCCCATTGAAAACATCCTTCCCCAAACATCCGGTTGAACAGATGTACGAACTGTCCACTTGAGCATCCCAGATGATCCAAACCACTGGGTTGGACAATGGAAGACAGGCTGCATCTGAGACACAGATCCCAAACCATAAACAGTTTGATGGATCAGTATTAATCCCTTAAACTACACACAGCCTCAAGCACTGCTGTGAAGGAGGCTAAGACAGCCTGCTTCTCCTCTGCCTCAGAGATCACTAAGCCACGCCCCCCTGAGAACTTTCTGGACCATAAATGTTTTTATATGCTACAGAAATTCTCACTGTAAGGAATTATCGTATTTCACAGAGAAGATCACTTGCATCTAGAATGGACTCTCGGGATACTAAGAACAAGCACAGAACTGAAAAAACACCACCATCACAACACAACTTGGCCCATTCGCACACGTAGCAGTCATGGAAGCATAGAGAAATCACATATGTTTCTGGACCCCTGCCCCCTGTACCTAGGAAAATAAAGTAGAGAGATATTGGTTTTTGAAGAGCAAGATCTATCAATCGCCCTAATATCCACCATTATTATTAAGTTAGTCTTAAACCCTGTGAACCTCATTGTTACTGGATACCCAGAAAGCTCCAGTGCCACAAAGCAGCCAGTCAGGCAAATTTAAAGTCGTGGGAAAAGACACCTGGAAAAGAAGGGAAGAGAGGTAGCAAAAGCTGGGACAGAGCATGAACCCTTCATCTGGTCTGTCCTTTCTCAGTTTAGAAGGCAAATGGGGAGACTGGAAAATAACCAGAACCTCCAGTTGGTATTCTCTGGACAGGGGCGTTTCAGGCCTCCCTGTCACATACCGATTACCCCCATAGGCCCCAAATGGCCATGCTCTGCCCTTCCCCAAGTATACAGCCTGTGCGAGAGGTAGGGGATTCTTTTGTATATGGATTATTTTTAAATAGCACATTTGTGTTTAATTATTGATGGACTTTTCAGATTTGTAAAATTGTCTGGGGCAAAAAGCATGATAAACCACTCTTTCAACCTTGAAAATCCTTTCATAGAATCATAGAATACCAGGGTTGGAATGGACCTCAGGAGGTGATCTAGTCCAACCCCCTGCTCAGAGCAGGACCAATCCTCAATTTTTGCCCTGATCCCAAATGGCCCCCTCAAGGATTGAACTCACAACCCTGGGTTTAGCAGGCCAATGCTCAAACCACTGAACTATCCCTCACACTGGGAGTCGGGACCCCTAAGGGGGTCTCAAGGTTATTACATGGGGGGGGTCACGAGCTGTCAGCCTCCACATCAAACCCCGCTTTGCCTCCTGCATTTATAATGGTGTTAAATATATGTAAAAGTGTTTTTAATTGATAAGGGGGGGGGGGTCGCACTCAGAGGCTTGCTATGTGAAAGGGGTCACCAGTACAAAAGTTTGAGAACCACTGCTTTAAAGTAATTAATATAGAAAAGAACTGGATTAGTATCAACTTGTTTGATTTCTGTATTGCAAGAAAATAAAAAGTGGCATTAGAACAATATAAAAATCCCGCCCCCCCCCTTATTAATCTGAAATCACAGTTCCAGCAAAAAATAAATTAGAATGTTTTCAATACATATTCTCGGCAAAGAACAATAGAGAGCTGCAGTATCTGTTTTGGCAGTTTGTGCGTCTTGAGGCTTATGACATTTTAAGTGCAGAATTTCCTTTATGTGGAACAAACCAGGAGTAATAAGACACACACAGATCTGCACTGTGCTTGTATCATGCCATGGGTGAGCTGTGAGGAGGCAGAATGCCCTCAATGACCCAAGGAGTGAATTTATCTTGGTATGGCACATGCCCACTTGGGTTTGCATTAGTCCTGAAACAGTCCTGAAATATAGAAATTCTGGTTATGTTCCCGTGGACTATCCCTCTACCATTACAAGTAAACATGATCCATATTAACAGTATATTTTAATTGCTTTTATTTATTGTCTTTACTGCATGTTTATCATAACATTTGAAGTACGTTCTGCATGAATTTTAAATTCTGATATTTTAATTGTGGAAGTTTCACTGGTTTCTGCAGCTGAGCTGTCAGAAGAACTAACAATTTATTGAAGTAAATTTCTCACGCACTTTACATCCTGGCACCAGACTACCACAGGACATTTCCACATGCCTCTCTTCCAATGGTTGGACATGGATGGTGTCTCCTTATTTATATTATAAATTTTAATATTGATCTGAGCTATGGTGACATCAGCACACAGAAAAGGACTACGAGTAATGAACTGATTACACCTGAATTTCTTTAAAAGGACAGATGGTGGTTTTCTATTAATATACGTCAAGGCCCTATTAATAGGAATGGATGTTCTCTGGCTCATTGTGGTAACAATCTTCTTCCATGGCCTGAAAGTGACCCCCTCCCCTCATCTTCCTTCCCCTTTTATGTCTCTGCTGCCTTATCCTACACCTTATAAAATAAAGTCTCTTGTTCAGAACTTTTCAGAGTGTAACAGGCCTTTACACTAGTATGAGATTGCCTTTATTTGTGAAGTGGCTTTGTAAGGTTACCCATTACCTAGGCCAATTGCACAGCCTGTATTTTGGCTTCCAACATGTTGACTCAATTGTTTGAGTTTGACATAAGGCTGCCCATTGTTTGATACACAGTAGGAGCTTGAGAGTAGCAGCCGTGTTAGTCTGTATCCGCAAAAACAAAAGGAGTGCTTGTGGCACCGTAGAGACTAACAAATTTATCTGAGCATAAGCGTTCACGAGCTGCTCAAATTAATTTGTTAGTCTCTAAGGTGCCACAAGTACTCCTTTTCTTTTTAGTCTGAGCTTGCTGTCACACAAAGAGCTTCTCTGTGTCATATTCTTTGACATCCACGTTAAAACTAACTATTATTTCAACAGTCAGAAATATGTGCAATTCCTTTTGTTTTCGTTTCTTCCTTTTCTCTCTCCCACAATCTGCTCCTCTGATCACTGAATAAATGCACCTCATGCATCAATCTTTTTTCATCTTGCCTAGTGGCGTTTCCTGACTACTTTGTCCCCTCCCACTCCTTAATATAGCCTTAATTTTTAAACAAAATGGAAGTGCTGTTCTAATGCATTTCAGTTGTGATGTGAGGACCAAACAAAATTATAGCAACTTAAGATCTCTCTCAGTATTGCTAACACCAATCACTTAGAAATCATGATTCAGACACTAGAAATCATAAGATTGGCTTAAAATCATGAGACTTTGAAAAAATTGGGGTTATTTTTATTTGCCTTCTGGTTTTTGAGCCCTTAGGGTTCGCCCTTGGGTGACATTTTCAAATATTTCTCTGCCAACATGAAAGCTAGAAACTTACTTTTTTTTTTAAATGAAAGCCAAAATTCTTATGTAATCACATGCTTCCAGGAGCAAGGGTTCTATGTTAAATGTCAAATACAGTGTGAGTTTAGCAACACTGCATTTATGCAGTTAAAGTTTTGGTTAAACTTACCTCATTTAAATTCTGCAGTTGTTCAGTAGGTTCCTTTGGTGAAAGAAATGCGCACTGATCTATTCTACAACAGAAAAAATAGAAAAATTCCATTGAACACCCCATTTTCCTCTACTGCAAATATTTAGACTTTGAATATCTGAATTTACATTACAGCAGTTATGTAGTTGTTTCTGTGATAAGATTATACAATATTGTATTGAAAAGAAATAAAATTTCCCATTAAATTTACCTCAGGATTCTGTATAACTTATTTAAATACACAATGAAGGGAAATACTGTTCAGAGTAATAGTGATTTTATTTGGAATCATTTGTGATGCATTTATACCACAAATGCAGTCCTGAAAACTATCACAGTTACTAATTCAGAGGAAAAAACAAAAACCAAAAAACACTAAAAATCTGGGATCATTCCTTCAACGAATGGGTGCACAAAAGGGACCCTGTCTGGTGACCAAACCATGAGCAACAGGCAGCAAACCACTTATGGATATGCCTAACTTTAAATATGGTTAGCCCTCTTTATTTCAATGGGACTACTCATATGCTTAATTTACATGCTTAAAGTTAGGCCGAGGTTTAAGTATTTTGCTAGATCAGAGCCATAAAAGATAAATCTTTCCAGAATAACTTGATTATTATTAGGGCTAGCAAGCGATTTTTATTTAAATATTTTTGATGTTTTCTACATTTTTAAATATCTTGATTTCAATTACAACACAGAATACAAAGTATACAGCGTTCACTTTATGTTTATTTTTTATTACAAGCTCTTGCACTGTAAAAAAACAAAAGAAATAGTATTTTTCAAATCACCTAATACAAGCACTGTAGTGCAATCTCTTTATCATGAAAGTTGAACTTACAAATGTAGAATTATGTACAAAAATAAGTGCATTCAAAAACAAAACAATGTAAAGCTTAGAGCCTGCAAGTCCACTCAGTCCTACTTCTTGTTCAGCCAATTCCTCAGACAAACAAGTTTGTTTACATTTGCAGTAGATAATGCTGCCCACTTCTTGTTTACAATGTTACCTGAAAATGAGAACAGGCCTTCGCATGGCACATGATGTATGATGTAGCCATTCGCATGATGTAGCCAGCATCACAAGATATTTATGTAGCAGATGCGCTAAAGATTTATATGTCCCTTCATGATTCAAACACCATTCCAGGGAACATGCGTCCATGCTGATGACGAGTTCTGCTCAATAACAATTCAAAGTATTTTCCTCATTGGAGTGTTGTTCTTTTAAGGCTTTTGAAAGCATGCTCATCCCTCTCAGATTTTGGAAGGCACTTCAGATTCTTAAACCTTGGGTCGAGTGCTGTAGCTATCTTTCAAAATCTCACATTGGTACCTTCTTTGCATTTTGTGAAATCCGCAGTGAAAGTGTTCTTAAAATGAACAACATGTGCTGGGTCATTATCTGAGACTGCTATAACAGGAAATATATGGCAGAATGCAGGTAAAACAGAGCAGGGGACATACAATTCTCCCCCAAGGAGTTCAATCACAAATTTAATTAACACATTATTTTTTTAACTAGCATCATCAGCATGGAAGCATGTCCTCTGGAATGGTGGCCAAAGCATGAAGGGTCATACGAATGTTTAGCATATCTGGCGTGTAAATATCTTGCGACTGGCTACAAAAGTGCCATGGAAATGCCTATTCTCACTTTCTGGTGACACTGTAAATAAGAAGTGGGCAGCATTATCTACTGTAAATGTAAACAAATTTGTTTGTCTTAGCAATTGGCTGAACAAGAAGTAGGACTGAGTGGACTTGTAGGCTCTTACGTTTTACATTGTTTTGTTTTTGAGTGCAGTTATGTAACAAAAAAAATTAACATTTGTAAGTTGCACTTTCACAACAAAGTGATTGCACTACAGTACGTGTATTAGGTGAATTGAAAAATAATATTTTCATGGTGCAAATATTTGCAATCGAAAATTTGATTTCAATTACATCACAGAATACAATATGTATGAAAATGTAGAAAAACATCCAAAATATTTAAATTTCAATTGATATTCTATTGTTTAACAGTATGATTAAAACTGCGATTAACCATGATTAATTTTTTTGAGTTAATCGCGTGAGTTAACTGTGATTAATCAACAGCCCTAGTTATTATTTCTTTTCTAAAGAATGACAGAATCAGGCCCTGATCCTGCAAACATTTATGGATATGCTTAATTTTAGGCACTTCAGTAACCCCTGAAATTGACTCCACTCAGAGGGTATGTCTACACTGCAATTAAAAATCTGCAGCTGGCCCATGCCAGCTGACTTGGGCTCATGGGACTCAAGTTAAGGGGCTATTTAATTGCAGTGTAGATGTTCAGGCTTGGGCTGCAGCCTGGGACCTGGTGAGGTGGGAGGGTCACAGAGCCCCAGTGCAGTCCAAACTGGAACATTTACACCGCAATTAAACAGCTCCTTAGCCTGAGCCCTGCAAGCCTGAATCAGCTGGCACAGGCCAGCTGCAGGTGTCAAATTGGAGTGTAGACATACCCAGAGATCTTTATGATCCTTCAGCTATGGAAGTTCTCAGGGCTCCATCCTCTCCTTCATCCTGCCCAACTTCTATGGGAAGCTGGTAGGGGAGACTGCTGAATTGTAGTTCATCCTGTCCCACAACATACAGCTCTAAACCACCTTCACATTAAGTGAAAACAGCATCATCTCCAAACAGTCTATAGGCCTGGCCAAGATCAATAACTGGGTGAAGGGCAGCTGTCAAGGAGTAAGTACCGAAGAGGAAGAATTATTTGGTGTGATACAGTATCTATGGCTATAACTAGGCATAATGGGATGAAACAAAGAACAGGAAAATGTAGGCTGAATATAAGGGAAAGTATCCTGATGGTGAGACATACACCTCTGTGCCCATATAACGCTGTCCTCGGGAGCCAAAAAAATCTTACCGCGTTATAGGTGAAATCACATTGTATCTAACTTGCTTTGATCCACCAGAGTGTGCAGCCCCGACCCCCCAGAGCGCTGCTTTACCGCATTATATCCACATTCATGTTATATCAGGTCGCGTTATATCGGGGTAGAGGTGTATTTGGCTATGGAATACTCTCCCAAGGAAAGTGGAGAATCCCCAATGCTTGGGACATTTAGAACTAGACTGGATAAAACATTAGTATGTGTAGTCTAAGGAGCAATTTTGCATTGACAGGAAGATAGAGATGGACTGGAAGTCGTAAAAGGTCTCTCTCATCTCTAACTTGTATGATTCTAAATATCTATAGTGTACAGATTCTTGTAGAAATTTCAAGCCAGTAGATACATTGAGCAAGTTAACCAATGGTACAAGTGAGCACCACTTGATGGACATCTGTGGAGCAGTACCCCCACAAGACAAATTCATTTGGCCTATTGACTTAATGTTGCACTTGTGAATTCAACAAGCTACTCTCATACCAATTGCCCCATTGCTTCCATAATGTCTCAAACAGAAAAGGCAGGCATAGGTCAAAAACAAAAGAAGCATGAGAGGAACTGATGTGGCGTGGACTTCTATAAAGTTTGTATTGGCTCTGTGTTGGCTGACCTGCCTAGCTCACTCATGGCTCCACCTCTAATGAGCCCCACAGTTATTTTAAGCTCATGGGGGAAAAAAAACTTTATACCACCCTTAAAGCATCATCTGTCGGTCTCAGTTGCTATTATTGTCTGCATTTTTGGTGTGTGATGGTCTTGCATTCCACTGTTTGTATCGTACAAAATAATACTGTAGTTAATACTCTCTCACTGCTGTGTTCCTCAGACCCTCACACACACTAGATGTTTCCTGAAGTTTCTCTAGCCAGCAAAATATTTTTTCCACTCTGTGAAGACCACTTACATTAATGGTAGTTCATGTGCATGTTGAGCTAAAAACACCCCATAGTCCTTTTTTACAATTAAGCTTAATAACTCTGCTAGGTAAATGCAAATTGACTGATGGTAACCTGGCAACAGTGTACATGTAATTTAATAACTTAGAGCCTGTCCCTGCTCTCATTTAAATCAGTTACAAAGCAACCACTATCCTCAAAAGCAGCAGGATGAAACCCTTATTTTCCATCTGAGCTGACATATTAAAATTGCTTTAAGTGCTAACAGAAATTTTAAATAATTGGGACAACTCTGCCTTCCACGTAATCTAGGTCATGAAAAATAAGAAAATATAATTCTCTGTGTTATTGCTACTTTTAATATTTTATAAAGCAGCAGAGTAAATATTTAAAGGGCTTGATCAGTGATCTCACTTACACTTCACAGGAGTGTAACTCCGCTGATTTCAGCAGAGATACTCCTGGTTTACATCATGGTGTAGATGACATAAGGCCCATATGGAATATCTTCAAAGTTTGTGGGCATGACCCGAAAAAAAAAGAAAAAAGGATAAACACATCAAAATAAATACAGCTCCTACCAGCACCAGGGTGGAGTCAATTTGTAACAGCTCTGAGCAGTTGTTTAAGAACAAGGCCAGAAGAGGTGAATTAAAGATCACGCATGAAGTCATTCTTAATGTCATATTTTGAAATAAAATCAGACTTTTAATTGTAGATGCTGTAAACACTGGAGAAATTTGAAAAATTGCATAAGGACTAATGAAGCAAATTCTCTGGATTGATGGATTAAAAAAATACATATCTGAATTCAAATATTAGACTTGATGCTGCTTTCAAGGGCCCACTGCAGCTTCGGATTAGTCTTTGTGCGTTCCCTAAAACAGCTTGCTTGTGTATATTTCTAGTGTGCAAGCAGCACAGCCAGCGTAGCAGTAGCTACTTCGTAAACTGCAGTGGCATATGTAGACCCTATTCACATGCTACCCATCGTTACACACCCACTGTCTTCTGAGAAAAGAGGCATCTCTGGCTGGAGAGGAAACATTTCATGGTCAAAGTGGTCATGATCCACAAGCTACAGACCCAAACTGCTCAAGTCAGATCTTTTAAATACATGGTAAGCCTGGAGTTTTCCCAGGTTTTTTTTCCCATTCTTTAGGATAAGAAGAACTGTAGGTCCGTACGGAGTGAAATATTATTTAGC